ATTAAGGCTTGGGCGAAGAGTTTGGAGGAGGGGAAGCGGAATGAGATGCAGAGTCCCGAGGAGGCTTTGAAGGATTTGGAGATTTTGGAGAGTTGCTTGAAGAGTGGGGAGCAGAGCGGTACACCAATTGATGTGAAGCAGTAAAGTTGATGTGTGATAGGAAAAACGCAGTGTCAGAGCATACTTCCTTGTAAATAGTCTGTCATCAAATATATATGCCAACTCCATTTTTTCGGTTTACTAATAATCAAGTATATTTCCCAGGAAGCTGTTTTCTTTTTGACATGTAATTCTAACATACCGTGTATATTTTTAAACACCCCAGTATTAGCCCATCAACATCATACATACCCACCTCAACTCATAAGCCCATGGACCTGCTCCCCACTCAACGTAGCCCTCGCAGCAGGCCTCTTCCCCGCCATCTTCTTCGACGTCGGCACACTCGTCCTCCTCGCACCACCACCACCACCGCCACCACCATTCCCCCGCGCTATCTGCGCCTCAACCGCAGCCTCATGCTCAATCTTACTCACCGCCCTCGTAATAGCCATACTATACCCGCCAATCCAATCGCTCCAGCTCTGCTTCCCCCCACGATTATCCACCGCAACTTCGAGATTCGAACTCATGCTGCGCTGGGGCCGCGTCTTGGACGCTGGCACTCTTGTCGTTGTTGATGCTGAAGATGGAGATTGGGCTTCTTGCGTTGCGCGAGCGGCAGCGGCGGCAGCACGACGTTGTTCGAGGAATGAACGAGCGACGTTTTGGGCGGCTGAGACGCCGGATTTGATTGTTTGGACGTCTTCGAGGTTGACTGAGGCGGGGATCGGGATGCGGTAGCTGCCGCTGAGAGTGACTTGTCGCTCTGTGCCTCCGTTGCTGGCGCGTCGGGGGATTTCCTCGACGTACTCGGTCTCGTCGGATTTGGCACGCCGGGTTCTGGGGCGGTAGTGCTCGAGGTCTTGACGGGCGACTTCGAGTTCGCCTTCTAGACGGACGAGTTCTTCGTCTGCGTCTTCTTCATCGTCGACGACTTCTTGGACTCTTGCATTGTTGATGCTTGCGTCACTTGTGTTCGTGTTGGTGCGAGTGAGTTGAACAGTAGTAGTTGAAGCCTTTCGTCCTTTGCCTCTTCGCCGGGGTGAGCGGCCTGAGCGGGCGTCTGAAATCGCACCTGTCTTGTACAACTCCTCGACCTTTGCTTCCAGCTCCCTGACTCGTGCCTTCAGGGCTTCAAGCTCGGAGGAAGAAGGGCTCCCTTTCGATATGTTGGTGCGAGTCGGGGACGGTGGGGTGCTAATAGGGGTTGAGGTGGGACTTTTGTTGAGTTTCCTGGGCTTTCTTCTCGGGGTCTTTGCTTCGGCTACAGCTGTATCAACTGAGGGTCGAACTGCTGCTGGTGCAGTTTTCTTTGCTGGTGAAGTCGATGCTCTCGCTACTTTCCCTTTTGGCAAAACGACACCTCCCGCGGAGCCAGCCCTTCCTTGTTCAGCCTGACTGGGCGGAGTGCCTTTCCGGGACCTCGCCTGCTTTGCGGGTGTTGCTGGCTTTGCACTTGGCCCTGGCGATGCGGACTTGGAACCCATGATGCCGCTTGTCGTCTCTATCTTTCTGACACAGTACTAGTGTACATCCACACAAATAGACTTTCAACTCAGGGTTCAAACACAAGACAAGCAGGGGTCCTTGATGTCGTCGAGTTGGAAACACTACTCAAATGTACATGTTCTTGATGCAAAGGGGCCGTGTGATGAATTGCAGTTGTGGGGAATGTCAGGAAATGGAGTTGGTGATTCGGTTGCTATTAAAGCAGGATGTCGGAGTTGGAACACAGACTCAGCGCATCTGACGTATGGTGGCGGACAGACCAGGATCATGCATGATTGAACCCTGTCGGATAGCGGCGATCATCGTGCCTTAGTGCTACGACTCAACGTTATCTGCAAACCACCTCACTAAACCATTACAATTACATCTGTATACATTAGTGGGGCGTACCATTCTTTGGTATGGGGTTTATCTGTGTCCAATTGCTTACCATGACCGTCACGATAGTATGCAGACCTAAGGCAGAGTGCACGCAATGTTTCCAGACCTGAATACAAGCAAGCTCAAAATGATGTGTCTGAGTGGAGTGGATGATCCTTTCATAATCTAGTCGCAGCTAAATACATGTTTACACACTCTTCTCATGTCATACCGAACAAAAAGGTCCATCATAGGAAACCGACTAGTGAGCATGGCTCATCCATACCAACAGCCGAACCGCATGCAAGGGGAATATTGGGGAAAATATGGCATGTCCTGTGTTCTACCGGATCCGCAGGGTCCAAGAGGAAAGACCAATACTTTTGTAGACGAGAAGCGTCAAGGAGATAACCTCGTTATCGGGTGTAAAGGAAAGAAAGCTCATAATACGTCCCAGCGGTTGAGCAGCCACGGGGCGCCTTGCAAATCGCGCTTGGATGAACAAGGCCGTCGAAGCATAAGGCAAAAGACCATGTAGTGCACGGATGCAACAATACGAAGGACCGCCCAACAAATCATAGCTGCGATAGACAGCACAGGCCTAGAAAGCAAAGGACTCCACCACGCCGTTTCAAATGCGCTGCGATCATCCGGATATAATATCAGGGCCAGACGGAATGCCGGGCCAGCCTTAGACAGTGGATACGCCTACCTAAGACGCAATTGCGCGAGCTGGCGCGCCTCCACCGCGGCGGTTGTTCTTGACATTCTTAGTCGGTTTGGTGACGGTGCTCCAGCCATCCTCATCCATGGTCTCGGTGGTGGTAGCCGGCGTAGCAGGGGTGTTGGACTGTCTCCTCCATGAACCTGCCTCAGACTTTGGTGGGTCACGGACAACCTCTTGTGGCTTGACAGCCTTGTCTTGAACAATCTCGCCCTGGGCGTCCTCGTCTTGACCGGCCGAGCTACCCTCATCAACACGCTGGAGAATCTCGAAGTTGGCCTTGGGCTTTTCCTCTGTGCTGTTCTCGTCCTTCCTGGTAGGGGTAGGCTGTGCTGAATCTTTGGGTGCGGCCTTCTCGGCAGCTTCCTTTGCCTTGCGCTCTTCCTTGGCCTTCTCATCGGCCTCCTTCTTCTGACGGAGGGCCAGTTGCCTCTTCTCTTCAACCTCCCTTTCGCGCGCAGCAGTGTCAATGGGACGGGCAGCACCGAAGGGGTTGGGCTTGTCTGAAGGAGTGGAGGATTCGGGGCCTGGCTGGGCCTCGGAGACTGTTCGCTTAGCCAGGTTCAGGCGGGGTCTGCCTGCAGGAGCAGCAGGCGCAGGTGCTGGCGAAGATGGTGTGCTGACATCGGGTGTCGATGTAGGCGATTTGACTGGCGCATCAGGGCGCATACGGGACCGCCACTGGTTGTCGGCCTCTGCAGCAGTAGGCTGCCTCTCAACATGCGGTCTCTCCTGGAACTCACGACGGGGTCCGCGTGAGCCCTCGGTGCCTTGACCTTCACCCCAAGCTGGGGACTGTCTGCGTCCCTCACGGGGTGTTCCTTCGAAGCCTCGCGTGCGGCCGCTCTCACTGGGAGAAGGTGCAGCAGCTGGCGAGAGAGGGCCGCGGCGCTCCCAGTTGCCAAAATCACGAGACTTACCGTCACTCTCGAATGGAGGTGGGCGGCGACGTTCGCTGCGTTCGCCACCAGCATCTGATCCTGCGTCGAAGCCACGGTCGCGACCCGCGCCGAAACCACCACGTCCTGAGTTGCTGCGCTGGCCTGGAAGGTCGGGGAGTGGTCCCTTGCGAGTCCAGTCAGAGATATCGCGGGCCTCTGGGCGGTCCTTGGCTATTATGATGTCAGTAAGTTTTCCAGATGGTAGAATGGGTGTGCAGCGTACGAGGCTCAGCAACGCTGACGCGAATATTTCTGCCCTGGAATGATGTGCCAGAGAGATCAAGAGCCTTCTTCAGTCCATCTACACTGCCGAACTCAACATATCCAAAGCCCTTTGGCTTTCGGTCCAGCTTGTCCTCAACAATGCGTACGTTGGTGACTTCACAGTCGGCGAAGAAGTCAGTTACGTCACCCTCGGTGGCGTCGAAGGAGAGGTTGCCCAAGTGAGCGGTGTACGGGGGCTTGGATGGGAGAGGAAGAGCCTCGCGAGTTGCGAATCCGCGGTCAGCTGCAAGAGTTGTTAGCGCATGCAGGACAAAGTCTTGCAGACGTTTACCCACCGAAGCTACCACCGCGGTCACCACCGAAGCCACCTCCAGATCCGAATGTGGGCCTGTCACCTCCATATCCGGAGCGGCCACCAGCACCTACGGCAACGTCAGCATGCGGAATGAGGCATATTTGCGCCGCGAGTGTCGGCGGGGTATATTTTACCAGTGCCTGCAAAAAAGTTAGTACTCGAGGTTACTGCAGAGTGCGACATGGCGAAACTCACCTGGCATTGGCGCATCCTCCATCTCGTCAGCCCATGATCCCAGCGCTGCGTTCAGTCAGTCCTCTGTGGCGCCTGGGGCGGGTCGGTGAAGGGGGAGGGGCGTACTCTGATCTCCCAGGAAGTCTCCCAGGGACATCTTCTGCTGTTCCTTCTTCTTGGGCGCTGCAAAAAACCACCGTTAGCCATTTGCGTCTCTTTTGTCGTCGCAGTACAAAGCGGGGCAAAAAAAGCCGGCTCGCGAGCGACGGCCGCACTTTGCGCAGCCCAAGGCAACTCACCCATGATTGCGGGTTAGCAGACTACGCGCGTAAGGGTTTTTTCCGCGCGCTGTCTGGTTCGAGTGCTAAGAGCGTCTTCTACTCTGGGTCGGGGTTGTTCTTCTGGCTGCGGGGGTGTGTCCGTAGTTTCGTGTGTGGGGTGAGTTCTTCTTTCCCGAACGGAAATCTTAAGCTGTGCGTCCGTTGGGCCTCGCTTATGTCATCCCCAAAATCCATTTCACATCCATGCAACTGCGCAAGCCGCTTCTAGATCCCTACTGTCTCGTCTTGCCCTGCATCGCCTCCTTGTGTGTCGCATCCATGCGAGAGTGATGACCAGCAAACATGACCCAGCCCAGGTCACACAGCCTCTCGAGGTTGCCAGACAGGCCGCCTTGGTCGGTGGAGCCTCAGGTACGTATTTGCTCGACTCATTTCTTGACGTAATCTCGTCTGTTGTACGCTTGCGACTTTGCCATCGTGGCTGTCCCATCAGACATCGAGACACAAACTACCCCTTGGGATTTTCGCCTTGCCATTTCCCTTACTCTATGCATATACATTATCCCCGGATCGGGACAATGACACAAATATCATGTTTTGCTTTTCTTTCCTACCATTCAACTTAATTCCAGCCCAACTCTATTTAGGGAAATGCGCACACAACTAATCTAGTACAGCAATTCCCGGTACGGTAATCGGTGCTTTATACGGCACAGTCCGCACCCAGACACCCGTCTTGTTTTCCATCGCATCAGGAGCCCAGTGGTTCGCCCTTGGATCAACGTTCTGGGGTTTCCGTACCTCACTCCTCAACCAGAGTGGTCTCCTGAACTGGTGGAACCTTACTCGAGGTACCCCCATCTACCCTCGTGATGACCTGAATCCATCTCCCTCGGAAAAAGTCCGCGCCTCTACCATTGCCGGAGGATCAACCGGCTTCACTCTTGGTTTCTTGTTTCGAGGTCCCCGAAACGTTATCCCCGGAACCATAGTATTCAGTTTAGTAGGCTGGCTAGGACAGAACGGGTACAACTACCTGGATGCGAGAAACTCTGGGCAACTTCAGGAACTGGCCGAATTAAAAGCTAAGGGTGAAGAAAGGCCAAAGGAGACGCTAATGGACAAAATCGCAAAGAGCTGGTGGAGTCCAATGCAAGTCTTGAGCGATGAGGACTACGAGAAGATGATGCAAGAGAAGCTGTTGAGAGTTGAAGCCGACATTGCTATGATTGACGATAAGATTGCGGCGCTGAGAAAACAGGCGGTTGAGAGGGAGGTGCAACAGCATCAGATCAAGCATGTACATGAGCAGGACAAGATTTCCAAGTGAAGTACTTATCCCGCTCTGGGTCTTTGAATATCTGATTTAGAATTCATATTGTAAGATACTTTGATTTGGAAAATTGGAAAACAGTACTTTTACCACGACATCCACAGACGAAGCCCCTTATCTGACTACGGATACACATATTCATGCAGTTCCCATCTCTCCTCTGCTTGCTTTCATTTCTCAGTACCAACCTCATTAACCGACGGTACCGCTTCTCCTTCAACAGCTTCTGGCGCCGGATCCTGGGGCGCACCTTCTTTCTTCTCTCCTACCGCAACTCTCTGCGTCTCTTTTGGTGTACTGTCTTGCACCTTTGCCACGCCACCATCACCACCTGCATACTTTGCATTCTTCCCCTCCCCCGTTCCCTGTCCACGCACCTCCCCAGCCCTCGATCCATACATAGCCCACCCCAGCATCCCTCCCATCCTAACCTTCGGCTTCTTTTTCTTCCATTTTGCAACCGTCGTAATCTTCCTTTTCCCGCCCGCAAGCCACACCAGCGTTGGCTGCAGATTGTCTTGGTCGCGGAGCGCAGATGGGGAACCCCCACCGCCTCTGAGACAGGGTACGATAGCTGGAGGTGTAGACGAAGGGTAGGGAGAATTGATAGGAGAGTCCTGACCGCGAGGTTGAGTCGGGGAAGGAAGGGGGAGGCGCAAGGAATACAGGGCATGTTGCAGAGAAGAGGCTGTGGCTGTGTGTATGTGGCTGTGAAATTGGCTGTTTGGGATGCAGGCACGGCATTACCGTTGCTGGAAGAGCTTCCTGTCGTACAGGATGTGGTAGGTGCGCGAGAAAGGTTCTTTGGAAGGCGCGCAATACCCTGTGCTCTGCGCATTGTTCGGGCTATGTGGGTTGGGTCTGGGATTCGAACTGGTGAGTCTTCAGTGTCGCTGCTAGAGTCGGAGTCGGGTCGGTGGCATGTGAGTAGTAGCTGTTTGAATAACAGGCCGTATCCAAGACGTACTTGATGAGTTCCAGCGCCGCCTCTAAGTCTTGGGACGTTTTCACCGTCAAAACCGGGTTTGTGCATGGATCGTTCATTCTTGCGAGAATTTTTATGAGTCGAACTTGTAGGAATAGTGCGGTGGATTTCATTCCGACTACATGGCCTCGAGGTGCCTGTTCGTGGTGCTTGCAGTGCTAAAGATCTTTGTGCATACACGTCACTGTCATACAGCTGCTCATCAATACTTCTTTGCTGCTGCGCTTGCGACCGTTTGGGAACGACATGCCCACCTACTACCAGCGTATGCTCTACGATAGTATTGCTACGCCTACTCTGTTCTGGTAACAGCCTATGAACATCGCTTACTAGCGTCGGACTGGGACTGCTTCCGTAGAAAACAGTCTCGAAGAAATCTGTATACCGATTTCGTTCCTTCTGCCGGTTCACAGTGAATGCAAACTCTGCCAGAGGACTTGATACTCCAGCATCTATAGCGGCAAGGTGGTCCTTTACTTCTCTCTTGTGAACATACGGGTATGCCTTGGAGTCGGGTAAGCCATGTAGATAATGCAGTTTGGGGCTAGTGGTTCTCACGTCGTTGCCCTTGGGAGCGCTTCCGGCAGAGGAGATTAAATTGTGTTCTGGTGGTCGGAATGCCGGGTGATCAGAGGGCGGGTTGAGGATATTGCTTATAGCTCCCGGGCGCTGTACTGGAAGTGCTGCTCTTCTGGGTGGGTTACCGATCCTCTTTGCTGCAATCTCAGGAGACACGATGCGTGGGCCTTCATCAGATGAGGTGCTAGGTCTGAGAGAGAAATTTGAATTGGAATGCCTTATGTTTTTGTTATCTTCAGGTGTCAATTTCTGTCGGAAACCCATTTTGATATGCGAAAAGGGGCTCTTGGACCGACAGTCATGACAGGGCTCGCTGGAATTGGGTCTGGATGATCGCATGCCGCAAAAGGTACACCGAGAACGCTCAATGATTGAGAAAGAGTGGTACTTGGTCCTATCATACGGACATGGCTGCTCATATTCACCCCGGGAAGACTGGTGTAGCTCTGGAGTCGGGCCTTGTTTTTCTGTAGCTTGAGCAATATTGATACCTTGGTGTACAAATGGTCGAATTGGTGCAGGTGCCGTTATCGGTCGTGGAGCTGGATCTTGCTTTGGAGTTGTCTTCCGCAATTGCAAGACTGACATGAAAGTGTCTAAACCCGAAGAAATGCGTCTTCTCAAAGTAGCAGGTCGCTGAGGGACAGGATGCTGTAATGTAGGCGAGGTAGGCCGACTGGTAGGCTTAGGATTTATCATATCCAGTTGTATCGTTGGTTGGGTAAGTCAACGCTGAGAATATGTGAACAAGTATGACATCAAGTACAGTCAGGACGCTCTTTTTGAAATGTAACTCGTTTCCAAACCTTTGTCGACAAATATCAGTGAAATATAAATATTTGGAATTGAGCCCTATAGACATCTTGTTAACAACCGCCGGCCGGTTGTGAATTCCGATGACACGCATGACGTGTAGAGTGACGAAGCGATTGACGAACGATGCGTGAAGAACGGCCGTGACAAGTACGAATGAAAAGAAACGCTAGTAGTACAACAGTTTCGATGCTCAAACGGCAGTATTGTGCCATGATTTTATGTTCAAAGATGACGAGAAACGAACATCATTCTGAGTTGCTGCATAGAGTGTAGCTGTTTCCAGCCGCCTATATGGCAGTGCAAATCGAACATTACAAATGACTTTCGATGGTTCAGTACCTAGATAAATGCTCTTCTTCAGGCCAGTCACTGAATTCTTGCATGTGATTGCCGTCGGAGATTCGGTCTTTCATGTAGGTCCAGTCGTCGTCATCATCGAAATACTGAGACTGGTGATCTCGCGGCATGTCGGGAGAGCATGTAGTACACATGCCATGGCGACCGATCTGATCAGTTAGTCGCCGGCATTGAGCGCAGAGTACATATGCCCGATTACAGACTCTGAGATGCACACCCGGAGTATATAGCGCACTGTTTACCCCGCATTTTAGACATAGTCTTGAACTCGCCAACGCCCCACTGCGACACCATTTTCCTTTCCTCATACTGTCCTCAAAGCTAGCCCAACTCCAGAAATTCAGGCAACCCTTACAAGCATATAGCTGACTCGACTTCGCCCATGCGCTGTCCTCAGCGACTAGAAGCTCGTTGTGCGTTGGCGCAGGAATGAGGAATCTGAAGTAGCGGGATGTGGAAGCCAGGTTGACTCTATCGCGAATATCAAGGAGTTTGATGATTTCCGAATGAAGCTCCACTGGCAGGCGAAGGATGGGTGCTGTGAGCATGGTATGTACACCAACACCCGGGATCCTGCGGGTTAGGCTACCGTCGTAGGAGTGTGCTTTCTGAAGCCGGGTGCGTCAGTCGAAAGTGTCAAGCCACGCATTCATCTAGTAGCTTACTGCTGGAGTTTGCACACTGTGGCGGTGTTGTCAACGCTTGGGTCGGTGCCCTTGTCATCCGATATCCGATCCACGTGAACAGGAGCGATTCCGAGGCAGAGCACCGTACCTCCTTTCTACGTAATGGACTTTACGGTTTTCAGCGGATGCGCAAAAAAGATAGATAGTCCGAGATATGGTATAGGATTAAGAAAGCTGGGAGCATATTTGAATTTGCACTTCTTGTGTAGCGGAGGACTGTCCCAGCAGCACGGAACCATGAAGCCGCGCACCCGCGAGCGCGCCGGAGCGCACCAAGGGTGGAGCCTTCACCCGCGGCTTAAGTTCCGTGTTCCGACTTGCCTGTCTTGGTAGTGACACAAATTCAGGGCCTCTGATATTCTGCCTGGGCGTTCGCTCCTTGTTTGTCGGCAACACTGCATGCGCTGTCGCGTAACCAACGTATGGGATCAGTGGCCGGAAATCAGCGCTCCATGCACACCCTGGTCAGTCAATCGACCGATTGTGTCGGACCACGTCTGGTATTATACTGATTCAAGTCTTTGTCTGATTTCTTGTGGCTGGCGGACATGGCCAAGACCAGCATTAAAGTGTCTTTTCGAGTTTCAGCTCGTTTAATACCATGTACCGCGATAGGGTGATCCAGCCCCAGCGGAACCAGCGCATCTGGCTCTCATGCGCAGTAGTCATGGCCTTCTGAGCCGTCCTGTAACCGATCGGTGAGCTGGCAAACAGGAGTGGAGTTGGGAACCCCCCCAGCTGCTTCTTTTGCAGCATTGCGCCAACAATGGTAGCAGGGGCGTCGAATAAGCCGAGGTATTTGCGGAAGATTGGGATGGTCGTAAGCGTGTACAGCTTGACGGGACACTCCCAGCCGCTGTGACGGTGCATGAGTGCCTTGAGGAAGCTGTGGGCTCCGGCGTGGAGCGACTTGTGATTGGGGTGGCCGGAGATGCCGTGTGCGTCAAATGTGATGATGGCGTCAATAGTGGCCTGCGGTGCATCCTTGGAAGAAATCGAAGACATGTCTGGGGCAAAGGCCGTGGTAAGCAGGTTGGAGATTAGACGAGGGTGCCATGTTACGGTCATGGAGTCGGGAAAGTTCCTGCATGACAATCAGTCAGGTGTACGATGCCAGCCCTTGCAGCGCATACTTGTCCTCAACGACAAGAATGTCATCTTCGCTCCTAATACCCAATTGCAGCCCGCTCTTGACTAACTCTTTCTTGCGTACGTGGCCCAGCCCGTCGGCATCGCCTGTGATATGGCTGACATTAGTGGCGGCCCTTTGAGAAGACGTGGGGAGAGGCGTCAATCATACCACTGCTCAGGCACAGGATCTTGACGTGATTTCCGTGTTCTGGACGCGTCAATGCAAGCAGAGCCGGGGCAAAGAACATGGCCTCGTCATCTGGATGTGCTATGAGAAGCAGAATGCGTTTGTTGTGCAGGGTGGGGAAGGATGCGCTGAGCGTGCTGGTGTACATCCAGAAGGCGAAGATGAGGAGGGGCACCGATGCCCAGACGGTCCAATTCATAGCCAACCAATTTTTCAACAGTGTGCTAGATAAAGTATCAAATGATTTGAGAATGCCGCTGAGTTCATGGTTGGGGCAAGGTTGACTGTAGGAGGCCACTGGCGGTTCTGGCACGCGCTTTGACCCACGTCATCTTCGACATTGCGAGGAGCCGCACACGCGAACATTCCCCTTGCATCCCCAATTCATTCCATCCGCCTATTATTCTACCATACCCATCATGTCCAACAGGAAAGAGCGACGCGCCAAGGGTACCGCATTTAATGCAAAAGTCACTGGAGGCGGACTGCAGCCTTCGACTGAGATTGACCAAGATGGAGTCGAGATGATTCTTCGGCATCCGGACTTCTCCAAACCCAAGGGCAAGACCCTTTTTGATCTGGCCGAAGAGAGACAGCGAGAGCTAGATGAATTAAATCCTGCCAGAAAGGCCGCTAGGGCAGCCGCCATGGCATCAAGACCCGTCGGCGACGATCAAGGGCCCCCCATCGGACCCTTAGGCGACTCGGTTCTCTACTCCGTCTCCATGGCAGCACTGCACCTCACCCTCGACGTCCTTGTATACAACCAGTACAGGGAGGACATTATATGGAATGAGATTATATGGAGAGCGGCTACGGCATGGCCCATATTCGCTGTTCTGGTCTACCTTACCCACGTCGACATTACCTACCGCTTTCCCAAGGTTCGAGATGTAGTCTTCTTCGCTGGCTCCATCGCTGCAGGCTGCTACTTGGTGTACTCGGGAAACCAACATGGATACTTTTACGTCATGAAGTCGGCTCCTCCAGTGGGCACTCTCTGGATTTGGAGCGTGGTGGAAATGAGCTTGCCTTTTGCGGCTACGAGTGCGCTCGCTGTCTTCGGATACATTTACTGGAATGGGTTTCAATTGTTCTGAGTGGTGGTCAAGATGAACATGTGGTGGCACAATAGAGAGAGGGGCAAGGCTTGGTACAACGTGCCCTGGATATCGAGTAGCAAACGGGTGTCCTACCCTTAGGCAGTGGGGTCCCCTCACGTAAGGGCTCGCGCGCGTCCCAGTTTAGCTCATATAGCCTGGGCTACAACTTCGATCGTACGGTCAGATACCTAGGGTACCAGGCCCTCCTACACAAACCATGGCGACACTCCGGCATATACACTGTTTATGGTGTCTCATAGGAAGTCGAGACGCGGATTATCATCCTCTTAGATGCTCATGAGGCCAAATACACGTAAAATCTAGATCAAACATCCCTGTACGCCCTCATCTCCGCTTCAGCAGCAGCTCTTTTTTCCATCTCCTTCAAGCAGGGTGCCACAAATATATCGCCGTACAGCACATTCTTAACCGTACTTGCCGAAACCAAGAGCCAAAGCAGGATGACACCCACAGCAAGTGCCGTCCCAAAAATTCTGAAGAAAGCCGACGGCATCTCCTGTCCCATGGTGATTGTAGACATGGTAAATACGCCAATTGGGAATGTAAAGCCCCACCATCCAAGATTGCAAGGAAACTTGCTGCGACTGATGGATGCCACGGCGAAGAAAAGCCATACGAGCCCAAACCCCCAGAGGACCAACGCGGTAATCCATCCGAGCACATACAGAATATCACCAGCCATCGGGTGTAGTGTTTGCGTTCTTGGAAAGATTTTGGATGCTTGAATACCAAGTTGCATTGCGGCGTAACCGCCCTGTCCCATGGGTCCCAGAGGCAAGAAGACACTGACGATGACTTCCTTTGGTGGGAGGTGGTGAATCGCGAGTCGGTGGAAGTAAATTGTCAGAATCACCAGCGCAAGGGGGAGGCCCATGCTCCAGAGCACATAACTGGTAATTATGGTGATGAGAGCGTGGCTGTCGTCGGACAGAACGGAAGCCACCAGTCCACCAGATGCAGCCGCGACTATGCACGCGACAATTGGCAGAAGCCAAGCTGCTGTCATTTTCTCATGCTGGTTCCTGTGTTGTGTCATCCTATACAAATGTCAGTCGCAAGTTACAAAAGTGGGCGAAAGGGGCATCTACATCTGAAATGGGAGCCATAGACAACAAGCAACGCTGATGACGACATCCAGCCACCACATTCCCCATGCCACATATGGAGCTGAGCCACCCCACACCGGTACGCAGATTGCGACAAACATGTTAACAATGGTGGCGAAGCCCATGGGCATGGTACCAAGGAAGAGCGACTGCACAGGGTGCCGTAACATCAATGTCCATGTTGCTGGAAACAAGGTGTACCGTAAGACCGATATGACAAATATAACTGAAAAGATGACAACGTTCAAGACGAAGAAAACGATGCTGAGAGTCCTCAGCAAGTCATGGTAACTTTGATAGAGATTTGACAGCGTATGAAGCAAAACAGCCACAATGCCTGTGCCCATGGTGACTGCAAACTTTCCATCATGTTAGCTTTTCCTTTCATTTATTCTATAGTAGTGATTTGCGCACCCATGAAGGCGTGAAGTTTTGTACTATCCGCCGCCAGCCCCGTTGGTCTGAGGGTATGAGCCATCTTGGTAATCCTTGCTTGTTTTCACAAACAGCTGTACCGCTGTTACAGCCAAGTCGCGTGCCATGTCTTGCTCTGTCTTCTTCACAGGCCTTAAGATTTAGGCGGCAAGGTGTCGTCATTATCGTTTTAGTGCGTCTGGAGATACAAAAGATTTATATAGGAAAAGGTAGTTCGAAAGTACTTATCACGACGAAGGGAGCATCCCAAACCGATTATATACACGTTGAAACTCGTCGACTTCCATACTGACTCATCAAGCCTTTTACGTAGTCATTTCTAATCCAGTTTTTTTTTCTTCCTCTTGAACACTATTTAGTCACCAAGTGCGGATTATATTCTGGTTTTAGGTATTGTTCAGCATGCACAGACAATTTGGGTCGGACTGTCGGCGATGGCCCGAAGAAAAGGTTAAAACGTATGCGTGATTGCGGATAGCTGACTAGCGGTGGCGGACATGGCCGCAGTACGAAGTCTGCTGTTTCTAGGAATCTTCATCAAACATTCGATCCAGTACAAGGCAATCAGACCACCAGTATGCATATCTTGCGACGCGCTACTCCCAACAGGAAAACCGTCTTACTTTGCCCAGTGTTATGTGCACGTGCTTCGCCGTTTCACTGTGCCTGGGGCAGGCTAACGAAACATGGCGTATTCGGACTACTACTCGGTGGTAAGGCGAGACTATACGGGAAGGCCGGGCCACGTGCTTTTACGATACTGTCCGCTTCGCGCGGCCAAGCCTACTGAGCATTCTTACCGAGCTTCACTATCGTGAAATGACCGCCTTGGCACCGTGCCCATGTGCCATATACCCGAGCACTTGTGAATCATGGGCTTTGCGCCAGCAACAACGGGTGATGGTGGACTACAGCTGCATGTTGGAGTCAGTGGCTATAGGTGGGACTTTGTAAAATCGACATGATGCCACTGCGCAGTCGTACTATACCCAGCAACCCCCGATATGTCTTACAGCAGTACAAATTGAAGCCAAGACCGATGAGAACCATACATGGACGCAGAAATCCTATCAGCATCAGCAAACTCCGATGCAATCGGAATAATGCAAAACGCGCCAACCTTAGAAACTTCCCGAACTGGTGACGCCAAATCGCTACGAGTGTTGTTTCGTTGTCATTCGCTACTCGCGTGGTGTTTATATTAGTTGCTACCGGCATTTTATATGAGGTTTCCGGGGTAAATAGATTGCCCCACTGGAAAAACCAGGTTCGTACACTGCAACTGCACGCTCCAGCCACAGTGTAGGGGGGGATATAATATCGTTGTAATATCGACTTCTCCACCCAAAGTCACATTGCCTAGTGCCAAAATCCTTGGAAGGCGAGTAAACAGTCGTAGCGCCATACTAGATTGTTACAAGCTTTGTGTAGCCCTGTGTAGGCCATGCCAAACTACTGCTACTAGTCGGTCCCTACGGGCTTGTAGTCATCTAAGAGCACTATGTACTTCTTGACTTACCAAGAACAGCCCGGGACGACACTCCGCGCCCTTCCTAGACCGACCTCGACCATTGAAACACCCTATTCAGGACTTTGTGTAATAAAAGAGAACATCTATAAGAAGCAGTGGAAGTGCCGTGAAACCAAACCCACAGCCCACGACAATCACTTCCAAGCACAGCAACAGCAGCTCAACACTAAAAGCAAACATGCACGCTTCCACCCTTCTCCTTGGCGCTGCCGCCCTCCTTGTTGAGAATGTATCCGCCCACGGTTTCGTCAAGACCGTCAACATCAAGGGCGTCTCAACCAAGGGCTCCGACCCAGTCTGGTTCTACCAAGGAAACAACCGCGTCGCAACCGCCGGTTGGGACTCCCTGAACCAGGATCTCGGCTTCGTCGAGCCCAACAGGGCTTCATCCGCAGACGTAAACTGCCACAAGAGCGCCACACCAGGCAAGCTGTACGCCAACGCTAACCCCGGCGATACCATCGAATTCGAGTGGAACACTTGGCCAGACAGCCACAGGGGACCCATCATCCACTACATTGCTCCTTGCAACGGTACGTATTCACCCGCTCCCCTGGTCCCCCTTCTATCTTGATCTGGAAGAATTGTGGTAGCTAATTTTTCCCGGTCCAAACAGGTGAATGCTCAAGCATGTCCCCCAGCGACCTCCGCTGGTCCAAGTTCGCCCAGGAGGCCATCGTCAGCCCCAACGTCTGGGTCACTGACAACCTCATCAAGAATGGATTCAAAGCTTCCGTTAAGCTGCCGTCTAAGCTTGCTGCTGGCAACTACGTTGTTCGCCACGAGATTATCGCCCTGCACGGCGGATCGAGCCCCAACGGTGCTCAGCTGTACCCTCAGTGTAAGTTTATCCTCTCTCTCTCTGTCCTTTGATTTGAATTCTAGTGCAGATGCTAACGTGAGGGCTTCAGGCATCAACATCAAGGTTGGAGGCAGCGGCACTGTCAGGCCCACCAACGGTGTTCCAGGAACCAGCCTGTACACCCCCACCACCCCTGGTATCTTGTTCAACATCTACACCAACCCTACTTCTTACCCCTTCCCTGGCCCTGCTCTGTGGACTGCTGCCAACTAAATGGGTCAGTATGGGTCTGAGATGAAATGAGGCGAGTCATCGAGGTGGCCAAGGTGCTCGCTTGTTGGAATAGGCTGCTCTTCTACACTGTATATACTTCACTCTTTTTTGAGGGGTTCATGGTCATTTTGGACATGTTCCCAATGTAAATGGATGCTACTGAGACTTGGTCTCGTGGAGTTTGTCGGAGATAGGTTGCATTGTATATATGACTTGCAAATCAACTTTGTTGGAATCACTTATTGACAATTCTGCTGTGCATCATCTATTGTGAGTAGAAAACCTGGTCCTCACCATAAAGCGTACTGTGCACTCAACAATCAAATGTTCTCCTTGATACTTACATCGTCGTCACAATTGACTTCACAGCCCCTGCGAGATACTTTGTTTCCCTATAGTCTGGACTAGTTACTTGCCTCAAATCATGCAGTAGCAGTAGTCCCAAGTATGCACATGTTTAAAACCCCGCAACGCTTTTACGTAGGCTCCCTGCACAGAGAATCTGTAACAAACTCACCTTCTTTCTACCCTGCTACACATCAAGCTACTCAAACTGATTCCTACCTGGATCAGGCGCACAATACCCCCTTCCAAACAAGAAACTTTGCAACTTATCCTCCATTCTCGCAAACTACTCTCACCATCAGTTTCCATCAAGAACCAAGAAAAAAACAGAGGAAAAGGAAAAAACTTACAAATCCCCTCCCCTGCACCCCATCCCTAACCCAAACCCCATACCCGCCCATCAAATTCGCCATCATAACATCCGTACTCAACCGATCTCCCACCACTGCAACATGATCAGGTCGCGTAACTCCCGTCTCCGGGTGCGCCGCAAAATACGCCATGACGTCGTCTTTGCACCCGGGCTTCTTGGTCGAGTGACGCAGTACGACGACGCCGGTGTTGCGTTCTAACAGCGTTGCTTGGGTGCCATGTGGATCCGAGGATGTACCTGCTGTGTTTGATACGATGAGGAGTTTGCGGCCGGGGTAGGCAGCGCGGAGGCGTGTGAAGTGGTCCTTTAGGGGTGGAAAAAGATGGTCATGTGAGTTTATTATCTTCACCGTGGTAAAATATATGGGGGGAGTGGGGGCGGGAGGAATTTGGTGGGATTCAGCTTACTCGGTACGGTTCATATATCTCATCTGTGTGAGGAACGGCAAAGCAATTGTCTTTGTCCAGGATTACGGCGCGGATGTCTACTTCTTTTTCGCCTTGTTTGCGTGGAAAGGCTTTGCTGAGGGGGATGGGGAGCTGGTTGAATGTTGGGATTGTGTGTTGGGGGAGGCAGAGAGTGGGGTCTCGCAAGAGGCGGAAGATGTTTAATGTGCCGGAGATATTCATGATGGTTTTTTTAGGACGTGTATGGGGATGCTGTGATGTGACGTATTTTGGGTAAGGCACGAGTTCGTGAGCAGCGAGAGATGCGCGTTCCGAGAGTTCCGAATAGTTCCGAGCAGCAGGAACTTTGCCTGTTCTCTTAGGAATTAGGAGAGGAAGAGGGTTGAGACGAATGTAGGCTTGCTCAACAGTACATTTGACTTGAGGTTTATTACTGACGATTACCGGATTGAATTCAATATCGATATATGCAGGTCACTAGGGTTTGGCTTCTCGCTTGACTGATCAATACTAGAATTGAATCGAATTGATACCATTCACAAGAAAGACACAACAGAATCCCTCGCCTTTCGTAGAAATATAGCCAATCGTCTCTCCTATTGCCACCCTTTTGCCAAATTTCCCGCCTCACTTCTTCACTCAAACCCAAAAGGTCGGAAATGCGTCCAAGCAGTGCCGTCATAAATGTCGATAGCAGGTCGGAAACGGATCCAACATGACTGGCGATGGATGATCCATCCGCAGGTATCTCAGATGGCCAAATTTATGGTACGTATTCGAAGCACCTCATGGAAGCGAATCCTTCAACGTTCCAGTTCCAGACACAGTTTTTGTCATTGATATCTACGTTCCTCCTAACTCCCGTACAGTTTTCAAATTCGAAGAAGATGCAACCGCATCCTGGGAGGCGATCGCAAGAAGCTATGCTGACGCTGTGACTGTTCTCGTAGTTGTAGTTGTAGCAGTATCCATTGGCTGGTACATCAACTTCGACGTTGGGTTTCCAACAGAGACCATCACTGTAGTATCGGGCTTTGAGGGCGGATGTCGTTGTGGCAATGGTCGTAAGGACGAAGAGAGCAGTAACGAGATGCATTTTAAACGATTTAAAGGTGAAGAAGAATGAAGATTTAGAAATACGGTTTTGTGATCGGGGTAGTCTTCTGATTTCTTTTAAAGCAGCCTAGGTTGCCTTATATAGTCTGTCACCATAGGTCGTTATGCTGCTGTCTCATCACCACCATAGTTCGCTGTTCTGCTGCCTTTGTCGCAACCGTAATTGAGTTCGTTGTACCCAATAGAGGTTTTCACAATAAGCATATACCTGCTGGGAGATGTACATATTGTTGGTAGTATTACCAACCAATTTCCATGGCTCAAAAGCAGGGTCTCGCTAACGTAGTAAGTCTCTAAGCCGAAGCTCCAAGGTTTTTACACAGGCTTCTTATTTAAATCCTTTCACTTTGACCGCAAAATTATTTTGTCTTGAATACCCACTTTGGGCAGGGCTAAATGTAGCCTGTCATTTTTTTCCAAGATAATCAATTTGACACGCCGTATAGCAAACAGATAGAAACAAGTCAAGTCGTCCATGAGACTATAATCTCGTTTAGAGAAGAAATTTGGATTCAAAATCAGTTTGCAGCATTGTTTTTCCTTATATTATCGGCGATATCTGAGTGTAAAGACTGAAGTAAGTCGTTGAGGTGAGCTCTGATCTTTCGCTCGTTGACGAGGAGAGCAAAGAAAGGAAGAATGAGTTCAGAGGGCCAGATCCGCGTGCACGTGATGACTAAGTGAATGGTCCAAGCTCAACCTTCAACTTTCTGTAGACAGCGATATTGGTACGCGCAGCAGGCCTGTACCAAAACTATCCACAACCACCCACTGCGGTGCCTCTGAAATTATCACTGAAACTGACGAGTGCGTTACTCGGCGAACATCTTGGCGAAACAACGAGCGCATTCACCTCGATTATCCGATTCAGCACCTTTCGCGGATCTTCACCGAACGTCCTCTTCGCAACCTCAAGCACGCGCATAACTAGCTACAAGCCTACAATCTCAGCCCAAAACCCAATTTTCAAAGATGACGAGCACTATCGGTATCCCAATCAAGCTTCTCAATGAGGCAGCGGTATGCGCAACACGGTTCTCGAACTCTCCCATGTCAGTACTGACTTTCAGCAGGGCCACATTGTCACGCTCGAAATCACATCCGGCGAAGTCTACCGCGGCAAGCTGATTGAAGGTCCGATTCCTATCCTATCTATAACACTTAAACCCTGCTAACGGGTTCGCAGCTGAGGACAACATGAACGTGCAGCTAAAGGACATTACTGTGACCGCCCGCGATGGTCGTGTCTCACATCTTGAGCAAGTCTACATCCGGGGAAGCCATGTACGATACTTTATTGTACCCGACATGTTGAGGTAGGCTCGTCAAGGGAACCTTCACTGAGCAAGGTGCTAACTACGGGTAGGAACGCGCCCATGTTCCGATCGAGAGGTACGAGGGGTCGCGGTGTTGGTCTTGCACGTGGCAGGGCCACAGTGAACAGGGCAAGGGCTAGCACTCGAGGTGGTGGACGTTGAACCATGTGAGGAATTCTGACAAAGACACAACTTGAAAGGCAGTAGCAAGCAAGCAATCCCAGGCGCAGCAGCTGTGAAGACGCGCTTAATGCGATCGATAAATGGCAAGGGGGATACACCGACAGGTATGATACCAGGTCACTTTTGCTGGTGCATACGCTGAAAACGAGATAGCAAATTTGATGATACCTTTGAACACGAATGAATGTTCATTTTCAAAAGAGTGCGAAACTATTGCGTGACACGTGATGGTCTGAAGAGATGTATGTCTCTGCTACATTTAGCGTGTAGTCTAGGCGCAGTCGCTATTGCTTTTGATCATCGCAGCCTGTTGCCCCACAATGAAAGATCGAGGGCTCACCCCCGAGAACTCCGCAACCCACCACTTTTTCCAGCACAACGCCACAATATGGACAGCATGGAGGGCATGGATAGCATGGATATCAAGAATCCACGACGCCTTTTAATTGTTGGGGCGCCAGATGCTGGTGTACTACCACTTCTCAAAGGCATGTTTCCATGTGGTTGCTCGTACGCCATTCGCTAATTGTCCTGCAGAGCTCACAGGCTCCGCTCCAGAACCCACATCCAATACCACAGCCGGCCTTACGCACGAGTTGCGCATTGAAACCAAGTACTACACCGCCACTGTGCCCATATGGATCGACGAATTACCCAACGTTGCGGAGTGGCGCACCGAATTCACCAAACCAGAAGCCCGCGAAGTCGTCACAGCGCTCGGTGCATGGGTATATTGTTTCAAGAGACCGGTTGAAGAAAAAGATGTAGACAAAGTCAAAGAAACGATGCAGGCCATCTCGGACGTAATTGAACGTGCGTGTGGCTATGGCGGCGACATTGCATGCCTAGCGGTGGCGATGCCGCAATCTGTTACGCCGTACCTGGACAAAAGCCACGAGGAGTGGGAAGAGTTGGCCATGGACTATGGTTTCGAATACATTGACTCGGAAAAGAAGGGCAAAAACGAGTTTGGCGAAGCCACGGGAGTGCAGCGGGTACGGGAAGCGCTCGAGGCAGCGGAGTGGGAGAGCAGTGCAGCCTTGGATTTTGGGGAAGACGAAGAAGGGTTCGAGAATAGCTTTGAGGCAGAAGAGGCAGAAATGAACATGGAGCTGTTTGGCATGAAGAGCGTGCTTGCAGGGTATGATGGCGATGAAGAAGGAGAGACCGACGACAAAGACGTTGAAGATCTCGAAGTCATGATGCGGAAAGTGGTTGCTATCAAAGAAATGGGCGAGGGCATGGAAGAAGGCGAACGCAAACGCTTCGCCGCCAAAGCCGTCAACGACCTGATGAAAGATTTCTGAACCTTTTTAACCCTTTTCCCTTCATCTCTAGCTGCATTGCATTGCATTCCTTTTAACTCTTAACACCAAAGCAAATCAAGAACGGAAAATCCATTTCCCTCGCCGGTTTCCCATCTTCAGCCTCTACCTCCTTCCTCAGCACAAACGCCTCTTCAACCCTCACCTCGTTGAAGCCCGTCCCCAGCAACATTTCCTCGATTTCTTTCTTCTTAATCCCGTGCCTCTCCACCCCAGCCCGCTTACTCACAGGATGAAACGGCACAGCCTCTGGCCCAAAATCTTCGTAATCCGTCAGCGCTACCACGCCCCCATGCCGCAAACACCGATGCATCGTCTGCAGGATATCCGGCATAGACGGTATATGATGCAGCGTCAAATGCGACACTACGAGATCAAAGCGGTACTCGTACGGCGGCTTGGGTTCTTCTCCCCGGTGCGTGGCTAGCAGTGCTGCGGCACTTTGCAGCTCGTGTGCGTCTGGGTTGGTGAGGAAGTGGTTTACGGAGCAGAGGTTTGGGTGGTCAGTGGGTAGGCTTGCGAGTTTGAGGTTGAAGGCGGAGATCATGCCCGAGGCGGTGTCGACGCCGATTAGACTGCGGACGTGCGGGGCGAGCATGAAGGAGAGGAGGCCGGTGCCGCAGCCGATTTCTAGGACGTCGAGATCTGGTTTCTATCATCAGTTTTTGGGGAATTCGAGGTTGATTTCGGGGTTCGGATTTTCTTTTATTTCACGTTTTTTTGGGCAGATGTTTTTTATAATCTTTATTTTGGTATTTTTTTTTAAAAAAGGGTTAACAAAAGATAAGTATACGCACCTTTATTTTTACCTTCTTTGAAGGCGGGTACGTAGCGTTTTATTGCTTCGAGGGCGTTGGCGGTGGATTCCACGTGCTTCTTGTTGGAATCCCATTCCAGGGCTTCGGCGCTGAAGCGCGCGTTGTTGATTTCTTGGTTGGACATGGTATATATGTTCTGTTGAGGGAAAGAGTGGATTGTTGCGTCTGTGTACGAAGGGAGGGTTGCTCAAATGGCTTGTATACACGATGTGGTGATGGCGGGGTTGCGGGGCATCTGCGTGTTCTAAACGGGTGCCTGGTTACAGCTGAGGGGAAGTCTGGATACGAAAATAATCGTCATTAAGGTGCGTTCACGATGGGCCATTGTTTTTGATTTTATGCCATTGACATTTTACGGTCGGATGCAGTTTGTGTTCATTGCAGCTGTACATTGCTGGCTTTGACATGCAGACGTAAAGTTGTAGTGTAGGGTTGAGAACAGGATCCAACATTTGGTATTTCAAATCTCGACCAATGGCGCACATGTGAATATAGTCTTGGTATAACTGTCTGATAGCATTTGCAGAATCTCATTAACGGGTTATTATTTCCAGTAGTAATAGTACCATGCCCAGAAAGCTGCTTGAAGCTTGGTATAGCTTCTTCACTTGTTCTATTTTTGGAAAAATTCAATTGGTAAACCGTATCTAACACCCATTGATGTCCCAATGTCAGGTATATCAAGCTTATACTGTGAATATTTTCTTCGCTCTGAGTGGATTGAATGTCCGCCACGACACGTGCTTGGAACTGCAAGCTTCAATTCAATTACTAGGATGAGCGTAGTAACGTAGTAAGACAATGGGCTGTCAGATATCAGGTGCTGAGATGACGTAGTATGCGTGATCATAGACGGTGGCACAGCTTGGGCCACAACGGTGGCTGTGCAGTGGCAGTGAAACGGAGCCTGACCCGCCATTGGAGTGGGTAAAAGGGTCTATGAGCGATAAATGTATTCTTCGCAAGATGATTGATCGTTACATGTAGTATACATGCACAATGTGTCCAAGTGGCTGGAAGAGTAGGACCATCTACTCGCCTGAGAATGCCCCGCTCGTTCGTAAGCGCCCCTTGTACAAACATGGTGGCTTCGCTGAGTTGGTGACAGCTCAGCCTCAAAATGTCCCACATTTCATCACGTATACACGCCCAAAGCCAACGCGGTCGGCCAATGGCCAATGACGAGACCCGTCAGGCGATGAGATGGGGGCCTGCTGGGGCGGAGCTGACCAACATGTTGCGCTGACCTGGGCCTCTGCGCCATCCTTCCCACAAACAGCGCGCAAGGCACCCACGCTCCTTCACCCGCCATTTCTTCCTTCATAACCTTGAGAGCTCCACCTGGGAAATCAGCCTTGTCAAGCTTTTTCTCAACTCCTTCAACACCGTGAGAAGCTCCGAAGCAATACACACGCACACACAACAATGGGTGTATGTTATCCTGTGATTCCTTGGCTGCCCCTCCATCCCCCCCCCCCATGACCCCGCCTGCGTCATCGAGGTGTACAGTATATACGCAGACAGATTAAGCTGACCTGATGTAGCTCGCAAGCAAGATGGCTGCAGCAAATGCAGCGGCCGGCATGCCTCCAGGCGGCCAGCCTGGCTATGTAAGTGCAGTCAGTGCTCGGGTTGCATTCAAAGCGCTCACTAACGCATATACGCAGCCTGGACAGCAACAGTACCAAGCGTATCCAGGTGCCCCAGGTGCCGGCGCTCCCGGGGTAAGTCAAAGCTCTTTCTTTTGCTGCTAGTTCCCGCTCTGCCTGCATCGTCATCGCCCTCTGCCCTGCTGGGCCCGCCACCACCCAAGACTAGGCATTTGCAAGCCGTGACGAGTCCCCACTCCACTTTTTGACTCCCAATAAACTCACCCCGCCCTCTTGGATCGCCCGCCCTCTGGCCTCTACCCGCCACAATCTGCTCTTGGGCCCTAGCCACACATGCCTCTCTCAAGCAAGATGGCTTCCAGCTACAGCGCCTACCAGCCGCCCCCGCCTCCGGGACAAGCACCAAATCCATATGCACAACCACAACAGGGCCCGCCTATGCCCCCGCGCCCTGGTTCAAATGCACCACCACAGTCTCCCTATCCACAACCACCCGCTCCAAGTCCCTATGGCACATCATCATCACCATATCCTCAAGGACAGTCTGGCTACAACAGGCCTCCCCCGCCGCCTCCAGGCCAACAGCCTCCCCAGTCTCCATACGCCCAATCTCCCTATCCTAGCCAGGCGCAGCCAGCGCCATGGAGTCCACCACCAACCCCGCAATCATATGGACAACAGCCTTACGGACAGCCACCCTATGGACAGCAGCAACCCTACGGACAGCCGCCTCAGCAGGGACAGTGGGGGCAACCACAGCAACCACCCTATGGACAGCCGCCCCAGCAGTACAACCAGCCTCTTTCACCGTCTTACCCACCAAATGTTCGTATTTGTTAACCCTCTCGCCTGTTCATCTTTGATGGACTTGATCCTGGAGCTCCATTGTGCAAATCTTCGTCATTTGAACCCTATACGTTTTTATTTTCCCGCAACCTCCTTTAGATTTTTGATACCTCGTTTTGCTCAAATAAGAAATCTATCTGAACAATCACTAACGTATGAATCAGGGTCCACCAGGTCAGGGTCAGTACGGTGCTCCTCCGCCTCAGGGAGGATATCCAGGCGGCCCACCTCCCCAGCAACTATCTCAGAGCAGCCCTGCTGAGGTAGAAGGTTACAAGCAACTCCTAAACGCTTGTATCCAGGAGAAGAACCTCCAGGGCTTCTACCCGCCAAACGACCCAAGGATTACCCGGATCGCTCAAGAAGCAGGCCCCAAGATCAACCAGGTCATTCAGCGCTGGCGTGTCGCAAAGGAAATCGCAAATGATATTGTCAAGCTTGCCTTGTACGACATTGTCCTCTACATCGGTAAGTTACACGAATCAGCTCATGGAGCGCAGCTGACATGTAGAAGATGACAGTGGTTCCATGCAGTTCGAAGAGGAGGGAAGCCGCATCAAGGACTTGCGCCTTATCCTGGAGCGAGTCTCGTTTGCTGCTACACTCTTTGATCATGATGGTATCTCTCTTCGCTTCATGAACACTGATCTTTCCAACGCACGTGACCAGCAGGGTCGTCCTCTCCAGGATGGTGTAGCCTCTGAGGCCCAGATTGAGCAAATCATGCGTGGCGTGCAGTTCAAGGGTCTTACACCCATGGGAACTGCTATGAGGCAAAAGGTCATTGACGGCATCGTTCTCCAAAAGGCAAGGAACGGTCAGCTGAGCAAGCCAGTACTGGTTATTGCCATCACCGATGGCCAGCCAGCTGGAGAGCCTCAGAACGCCATCTTCGACACCATTCAGTATGCTTTTGATACCCTCAAGGGCTTCCCACAGTATGGCCGCGGCGCTGTTGCGTTCGAGTTCGCTCAGGTTGGAAATGATGAAGCTGCCAGGAAGTTCCTCAGTAAACTTGATGAGCACCCCATAATCGGACCAGAGGTTGACTGCACCTCGAGTAAGTTTGATCAATCCGTGTGTAGGATATCGCTAATATTGTGCTAGACTTTGAGAACGAGCAAGAAGAGATGATGCGCGCCAACCCTCCTGTGGATCTCACACCCGATCTATGGATCATCAAGCTTCTTCTTGGCGCCATTGACCGTAGCTACGATTCCAAGGATGAGAAGACCAACCACCAAGCACCTGGTGGATACGGTGCACCTCCAGGCCAGTACGGTGCCCCACCAGGCCAATACGGCGGCCCAACACCCGGTCAGTACGGAGGCCCCCCACCAGGACAGGGCCAGTATGGTGCGCCACCCCCACAAGGCCAGTATGGCGCCCCTCCTCCAGGCCAATATGGAGCTCCTCCACCAGGCCAGTACGGAGCTCCTCCACCAGGTCAATATGGTCAGCGACCACCGCAGGGCGGTCCTGGCGGATACCCAGGTCAGCAGCAGTACGGCCAACCGCCAGCAGGTGGGAAGTACTAGTATTAACTCCTATCCATGGCGTTGACAACCGAAGTTTGGTCTCAGTCTAGAATCGGAAGTAGGGAGCAGGAAATGTGTCAAGGAACAGTGATGGATATCTTTTAATCAGTCTATGTTTGCCGAGAATGCGTTCTACGAGAGAACTCTGGCACTGACTCTGCGTGTCTGGGACGGATTGAATTATTTGCACAATTGCTATAAATGATATTCCCCCCTCGGTGCATGCCTAGCTTGCATGCTTTCACTAGTGTTTTAGAATCCATTTCAATCAACCATGTGTAGACCAAGTCGGCCCCAGTCCCATCTTTCAGAGCAGATCGTATCAAGATGAAAGACTGTGTACTCTGGAACAGAGCTGACAGACTAACGCACGAAGAGAAAGAGAAGCCACAGCGAGCTGAGCAAGTCTAGCCCCAACACGGTCCCTACAGCTTATGTAACTATTGATAATACCTGTGCGGAGGTAGTGCTTTGAAATACTATCTAGTTAGGATAGCGGAAATACAAGGAAATAGCGGAATAGTGCCGCGATATTGTATGATCTCCTCACCACGGCAGAAATGAAGGTAGGGAGCGGAACAGTGCCGCGCGAAAAGAAGACTCAAAAAGGCGCCGCAGAGCGACCGTCAGGGGCAACGCCCACGGCAAAGAAGAGAGAATCGGGTGAGCGGCTCGTAGGGGTCGTCACCTATGTAGTAAGTGTTTACATGCATAGATACATGGACAAGAGTGGTAGAGTTTAGGTATGCGTTATCCAGGGTCCACAATCGATCACATGTAAGGTTTGCAAATGCTAGTTGGCTATCAGCACATGGCCCTGCACGTGCCCACTGATGACGCGCCATGGCCTGTTCCGAGCAAACCTCGGCCAGCATGCTCAATAATGCATGACCTCTTGCTGCTTGACCTAATTTCCAACAACACCATGCTTCAATAACACTCGTCTCACCTAATTTTTGATTGTATTTTGCGGGAGCTGCATCCCATCGCCATGACGGAACACCCGCACCCTGCGGGAAGCACAATTTCCTCGGAACCTTCCGGAGCGCCTTCTCCGCCGCCTGGTGCAGCGCCAGAACCACCCACGCGCCCATCTTTGATACGCAAGTTACGCTTTTTACTCTTGAAATACATTACCAAAGCCGCCAGTGGCACAGATCGGACTATTTTCCGCCTCGCAAAACTACTGTCGACTCCCGAAGGCACTGATGCCCTTCTCTGCACAACATGCTACACACTTACCCTGGTTCACGCACTCTTATCCCGCCTTCTCGAGAAAAGGCTAGCCAGCATCGCGACTGAAATCGCTGAGAAAGCAGATGGAGTGCTGTTTCCTGGCGAAACACTCATAGCGACTCTACCAGCACCTACCAGCACCAAACTCATAGCCCAGACAGTAGGAAGTGCAAAAGCAGTGTCTGACCTCATATCCGACTATCGGATCTTTGTACGATTATGGAGTCTGGTGGGTATATACACTTGGGGGAGAACGACATACCAGGACCCCTTACCTGAGAATGCTGGTGCAAAAGAAAAGACGCTGCGCGCCTTGACGTGGGCGTCTATCACGTCGTGCGTAGTCTGTCAGGTTCTCGAGGCTGGTGCATATCTCAGCTCAAAGGGAGCCTTGACATCAGCGAGATGGACTGGCGAGGCGGGAAAGGCACGGGAGAATGAATGGTGGATCTGGAGTGCGCGGTTCTGGGCTGCGTATGTTGGTATTGAAGTTGCTCGTCTCGGTGTGATGCGATATAACCGCTCGCCGGCTTCCTCTGCGCCTATAGTTAACGGAGACGGAGAAAAAGAGGACAAGATTAGATTGGCAGAGAGTGTAAGAGCGGAAAAGGAAGAGAACTGGGCTTGGTGGAAAGATCTGGTGTCGAATCTTGCATATGCCCCAATGACAGTGCATTGGTCGCTGGAACAGGGGCTCCTCGGCGATGCGGGCATAGGCATTTGCGGCATGGTTGCGGGCGGATCTATGCTGGTTGATGCGTGGAGCAAGACTGCATAGACGCCTCCGGATATCTCTCATCCTATCGTAAGTCCCACGTGAGGATGACAAGAAGCTATTAAAAATAGCCGCTTCTGCATGCACCATTACCGCCGGCGATACGGCAGTAGAGTAACGCCCCAGGGGAGAAACAGATACTAACACGGATATACCCTTTCCTACACTCGGTCAATATACTCAATTGAAACACAAAAAAAGCAAATCTTGACTTGACCCTCAACGCATATACCGTTGACCTAATGAAGCAAATCCTCCATCCCCTCCCCCTCATCTGCCACCCCCCTCCTGTCCCCCCCCTCAATCTCAGATCAACCACCAACACCGGGCAATCCCGCTGCACACTCCCCCATGCACACCAAACAAAAACTCCCGAAACCCGTCGCACAACCCGTTTTTGACCCAAATCGCCAGCTAGTCTAGCCCACCTTCCACATCAGGCACTAGTCTCCCGCCGTTCGATAGGGCAGTTAGTTAACCCGCCGATCCCGCAAATGTCCAACCAGCCTATCGAACGCGCACATGTGCGCTCGTTAGCTCGGGACGGACGGTCAACCCGGTTGCTTGAAGCTTATAACTATGGAAGGCGGCGCCGAATGAGATGGATAAGGTGAAACATGTGGGCGGGATTGATATGAGTGGGGCTTGTGAATGTGTGTAGCGCTTAGGGATGGGGCGGGAAATGGGGGGCGTGGAGAATGAGGAGGTACTAGGTTACATTACGGATGGGGGTTGTAGTATGTAAGATGAAAGGGTGAGTATGTACGGCGAATGAGGGGGGAGGGAACTGAGAAAGGTGAAATCAAGATTGGCATTTTGAATGTTATTACTTGTGGTTGTTTTGAAACAGGTGACAGGCAAGGATAGTAACCAATCGAGTTTATCTAATCTCGCCTTCAGGAAACGGAACCGGCGAGATACGTACATCTGGCTCCCCCGTTTCGGGTCATACGGGACTACGTTCTGCGTGACTTGGATGTGTTTCCGGGGGGGCTTGGGGTGTAGTGGCCTTCCAGAGTAGGTCTAACCCCGGAGGTCGACTACGCAGTTTGGATATGATTTTCGTTTTTTGGCACATAACTCAACGCAAGCCACCACCCCCCCTGGGGCATGCAAAAGCCCATCAGAACTAAAGCAAGTCAGGAAAAAAGAGGTTGGTGGCCTTTTTTCCCCCTTGTGCGACCAAACGGACATGCCATAAAACTGCCATGCTGAAAAAGTTAAAGCCGGTCTAATGGCTTTACATTTTGATGTATATAAAGGGTCGTAGATATCCCCTCTCCCCCAAATTCGTATCTGCAAGTGTCAAGAAAAACACGAACCAGTCTCCCCGTTGCAATCACCACCCTCGTTGCCCCGTCCACCGTCCCTTCCTCCATTCGCTTCTTAAGACTTCAACCGGCACCATGCAGTTTTCCACTCTCCTCCTGTCTCTCCTCCCCACTCTCGCCCTCGCTCTCCCCACAACCGAATCTGTGGAGACCAAGGATGTCCTCGCTGCCGTCGAGTCCAGACAGTCGTGCTACGTAAAGTGCGGATCGACATGCTACACCTCCGCGCAAGTCACTACGGCCCGTAGCGCGGGATACAGTTACTACCAGAACAACGACCAGGCTGGTAGCTCCACCTACCCCCATACGTATAACAACTATGAGGGCTTTTCGTTTTTGGTTTCTGGACCGTATCAGGAGTTTCCGCTTAGGACGTCGGGAGCGTACACTGGTGGTAAGTGAGCTTTTTTCGTTTCTCAGATTTGAATCGAGACTTTTCTTCTTCTTCTTTTTTCGATTCTTGTTTACTGATGGCCTTTTTTTTTGGCAGGCTCGCCTGGTGCCGATCGTGTCATTTTCAACACTCGGGGTCAACGTGCGGGAGAGATTACGCACACTGGTGCTAGTGGTAACGCCTTTGTTGCTTGCTCCGGTTGGTAAATTGCATTCTACCAGAGTGGGAGATGGACAGAAATGTGGCTGGCATTTCGCTACGGTCAGTGATTAGGACGCAACGAGGGATTGATATGTTCTACTATCGGGGAGCTAGGATTGGTGTCATGCAGGTTTAACGAAAGGATACGGAATTTGTATATATGAATGAAACAGTTGAAATAAGACTAAACGTAAAAGTGTGTCCCGAAATGTATCAGACGTGAACAAGAATAATTTATTTACTCAGAAATAGACTACTCGTGCCATGTCGCTCACAAACACATAAGTCAATTACGAATATTTGGTACGCCAATATTGATATACGGAATTCGGATTTCCGAGTACGAGCACGATTAAGGTCATATAAGCGACGTTCCGGATTATCCTATCTACTCAGACCTTGTAAGGCTATCGCGCGTCATGAGTCGGGACGTGCAGGGCTCGCTAGCGTAGTATTAAACTTTGCATGTGATGGATGCTGGACCCTGGACACCACACACCCAAACGCACTGGCGATCTACATACGTCCTAACGTCGGCGCTTCTGTCGCATGTCTCGGCTGCCAACTTTAAAGCATGGAAGGGCGGGCACATACCAACACAAGATGTAACAGCGTTTGACATGCTACTGCCAGCAAGACGCATGACATCAACACGCATCTAACAAGCTTTTGGGGGCCTTGTATCTGGCATCCTTGTCGACTCGATATCTTGCCATATCTCCCCACGACTCCCCACTTCACACCGCCACGTCTACAAGGCGGGCGGGCTGGTTTCATTGCGGGGAAAAAGGCAAGAGCACGGGTTGCGACTCCATCCTTTAATCCTGCTTTTTCTCAGCGGGCACACTCGCTCGTTTTGTTGTGCCCTTGACGCTCTTGCAAACACCACAACACCAACAATGTCGACGACGCCCGACGTCCCTACGCGTCGCCCGACGTATCCCCTCGCCCATGCCTTTCGTCGCAAACCCCGCCGCATCCCGCTTGTGCTGCGCTTCTCAAAGGGCGCGGTGCACGACATCATTCTCTTGCCTGTGATCCTGCACTCGCTCTTTACCGTCCTCATCGTGTACATCGACACTCGCTATGTCGACTCGATCAGCATCCCGTCGACCATCATCCCCTCGCTCTCCATCGTCGTGGGTTTGATGCTCGTGTTCCGCAACAGCACCAGCTACGACCGTTTCTGGACGGGACGAAACTGCCTGACGACCATCAACACCGCCGTACGCAACCTCGCACGAATCTCCCTTGTCAACTCGCGTGACAAGGACGGCTACGCGACCGAAGAACAGCGCCGAGACACCGAACGCATCGTCCGCGTCCTCATCGCCGTCTTATACTCAATCAAACACAACCTCCGCGCCGAATTCAACATTCCCCCCGCTAGCCTCGCCGCCCTCCCTCCCCACCCAACATCCTACTCCTCGCAGCGCTCCCGCCCCGTCTCCCGGCGCCCCAGCTACATCGACCGCACCGCCTCCTCCAGCGCCGCACAAAGCACCTCCACCACCCCTCTCCTCGGCCAATCTACCCTCACCCTCGAAAACGGCGATGGCATCGTACACACCAAGAAAGACGAATACGTCTCCCTCCTCCCAGATGGCCTAATGGGCTACGAAGACCAAGGCCTCGGTCTCCCGCTTCAACTCACCATCCTAATCGAAGGCTACATCCGCCGCGGCGCCGACCGCGGCTGGTTCAACGCGCCCTTGTCCTCTCAAATGAGTGTACAAATCAACTCGCTCGTCGATGCCTACGGCCGCATGGAAACCATCCGCTCCACCCCCATCCCCGTCGCCCACCTCATCCACCAAAAACAAGTCCTCGCCCTCTACGCCTGCGTCCTACCTTTTGCCATTGTCGACGACTACAGGTGGTGGAGCGTCCTCGTCGTCGCCATCGTTACGTTTACTCTCTACGGCATCGAGGGCATTGGTGTTCAACTAGAAGACCCGTTTGGATACGACAAGAATGATATCAAGATGGATGGCATTATTGAAGATACGAGACAGGAAATTATGGTGCTCTTGGATGAGTGGAAGGCGAGTCATGAGGGCAGGGCTATGGGTGGTATGTTTGAGAATGATGCTTATTACTAGGGTGCTTGTTTTTGGGATTGCGGGGACATGGGCTGATGGCGGGTGTAAGCGTGCGGGGGGGTTTGGTGAGGGGGTTTGGTGAGGGGGGGGTGCGGGGAGAGAGGGGGGATGAGTAATGGATTTTTGGGAGTGGTGACGATTGGATAGGATTATGAAAATGATAATTATGAGATGTTTTTAGCAAATGTTTTCCGAGTGATGGTACTTGTTTATGATATTCTCTTTTTTTTTTTTATCATTTTCGATTTTTCAAGTATCACCCATTTGCCGAAATATTCTTCCGAGTCTTCTCATATGAAATACTACCGTTCTGAACTTCTTAAGTTGTTCAAACATCTACTAAGATGTGTTTTAAAAATAGTATTTCTACGGAAATACCCGTCTATCGTTTTCTTACTGCCTAGTATTAGACATTTTGCCGACATAATCTTCCGCCACTTTTTTTTTTTTTACTTCCGTGTTATGTGTGTGTGGAAACCGCGTTTTTATTGAATTTCGACTCTATAGTCGTTATGAAAAAACTTCTAAGATATATATATATATATTTTCCTCCCTAAATTTTAGTATTTTTTTGTTAAAAAATACGATTTCCTATTGTGAAGTCTTTCTTTCTTTCTCTCTTTCTCTCTCTAGATCTATTAGATCCAAGCTGAAATGGTGGTACGAGTTTGTTGTGTTGGAAAAAAATTGACATCTTTTAACTTGGCGTTTTTTTGACTTCTTGGTGTTGAAGTATTCGCGAATGTATTTTTTTTCTTTAGTAATAGTTATGCTATAAAATACTACTTATTATTTTCTATTTATCGTTTTTTTTTTCGATCTCTAAGTATCAAGCAGTTGATGTATTTTCCAAGTGTTGATGTTGTAGAATTTCTATTTCTCGTTCTCAACTTCATAGTACTAAGTATTTAGTTTTTAAATGGTTTCCGAGCATCGTGAAGAACCCGTTTACCGTTTTCGGCTTTTCCGAGTATTACGTCATGGAATGTTATTCATCGGGTTTAGCTTCCTAGTCCTGACATCAAGCATACGCTAAAAAATATTTCTTCTAGCATTGTGTTTTAAGAGACTACTTTGCAGTTTCCCGAGTGTCGTGTTGTGGAATGCTACTTATCGTTTTTGACTTCCTGACATCAAACATTCGCTTAAATAGTTTCCTAGATTTGCGTTAGGAAATAACTTGAATATGTTGTATCTGTTTGGTGTAAAGCATATCGGGTTATTTTTCCAAGAAAAGAGTGGTAGGCCGCACATTAACCTGGAGTCGGGCATCTCAAAATGGTGTTGTGAAATGTCATCTATCATTTTTTAACTTTAGTCTCAAACATTAGCATCTACGAATCACATTTTTAAATAACGACGAAACGAAATCCTCATATATTCCATGACATGCATTAATATGCCCCTTTCCTCCTTCTCCCAATCATGCGTATATATAACCACCACTCTTCTGTATACGTCTTTCCCCCCATATTCCCCACGATCTACATTAGATAGCAATAGTCGGCCTTGCATCGTAGCCAAAGTTCCCCTGCAAGTCCCAACAAGTCCAACTACTCCATCACTCCATTCACCTTCTCGCGCCAGAAAAGAATATCAAGAGGAAAAATAGGGCCAAAAGTGATTCAAGAGGGATTTCAATTCAATCAAATAAATCATAACAACATGTTCGCTTAGTGTGAGTGAGAGAGAGAGCCATTAAGAAGATATCAAAAGAAAAAGAGAGGGCAAGAACACCATCGACGCCATAGAGACATGCTGAACAAGTGAATGCCAAGCGAAGAAGAGATGATGCGAAACAAATAAGATCCTATGGCGATGAGTCAACAGGGAGAATGTCGATGGATCCTGTGTATGGGACCAAAAAATGATATCCAAAAAAGACCAAAAAGCCGCCCCTATTTCATATCTCTTTCTTTTACTAGTCAAAGCGCACAGGTGGGAGACTGGGGGCTTCACTTGGACGTCGTCCATTTCCATTCGTGTCCGAGTCAGATGAGGAGGTCTCAACTTGGTGCAAGCGGTTTCCAGCAGCCCTGCCTGCACTACCGTCTAGAACAAATGGGCCAATGTCATTGCGAGGCGTCATTGGACCATCGTGTACGCGGTCGGGTGCTAGGCCATCGGTCGCTGTGTGATGTAGTGGAGTCAGACCTGCGTATTGGTTTGCTCCAGACACGTTGATGCTAACGGGCGCTGTGGCGGACGACGAAGGTGGCGTGATTTGGCGATCCGGTGTCTCGGGTGAGGACGGATGCGTATTTCCATTGGCTGACTCGGTACCGTTGATATCCATGTTTGTGATTTGCTGTCGGAGGTCGCTGAGGTCAAAGTTTGAGCTGCTCGAGTTCATGGGTGCAACAGAAGCACGAGGAGTGACGTGGCGGTCGGCTTGTTCTGTGTTTGCATTGGTGGTTGTGTCGCCGTTGGCTACTTCCTCGTCACCCTCCCAGTCTTCAAACTCGCCCATGTCTTCCACATCCTCTTCCAAGTCGGCGACCGCCCTGCAGTTGGGACAAAGAAAGTTTGGCCATGTGGGCCCATTGAGGATGGGACGAATGCACTTGTAGTGCCAGACATGTGAACATGGTGCCACAAACAGCGATTGACAAGGCTGCAATGTGATTAGTAGAGCCCGGTTATATCAAGGCATGGAAACATACTGCTATGGACATCAAACAAATAGCACACTCGGAGGTGTGTGTAGAAGCGGCATCGCCCGCGACCTCCTTCTTGTTCTTGGCGAGGGCCCGCAATCTTTGGTGGGTTTGTTTACTAGACGAGTTAGCAAAGGCGCTCTCAACAGGGATATGTAAACATACTTGAAAGTATTCAGGCCCTGCTGCCAGCCGCGATTGCATTCAACGCGGATTTTAACACAGCGGAAAATCATCTCTTCACCCCCACGGAAATCGATGCCCAGCTGAATAATATCGCCATCCTTTATGCGGAAAGGCTTTGATTCGACGTTGGGCTGGCTGAGGCGGATGTGATTCAAAAAGGTGCCTGACGAGCTCTTGACATCTTTGATATACCAGCTTCCGTCCTTGCACCACAGTTCGCAGTGCTTTCTGCTGACCACTTTGGACTTGAATCCAATCGCCGCAGCGGAAGGGGTGTTTGAAGAGATTTCTGGCGCATTATCGCGCTCCGAGTAGCGGCCGACGCGAAGCACGGCCGACTCGTCGGGCAGCGTTCGCGTGATGGTGGGGAATATCAAAGAAGGTCTGCCGGCTCGGGGGTCTTGATGTGGGATGAAGCGAATTGAAGGGAGGTGTTTGACAGCGCCTCCGCTATCGGTGGAGCTGTCTGATGGCTGGGTGGTGTTGGTAGTGGTGGTGGTGGAGGCAGAAGTGGTCGCTGGCGTGGGCCCAGTGTTGTTGCGGACTTGCAGCTGGGGCTGGGCCGTCTCTGAGCGAGTGCGGGTCATGGTCTCGTGGGGCGAGGCAGGCGGTGAGTCTGCTGGAGGGCTCTGGGGCTGGGCGTCGGTGGTTTGGCGTCGCGACAGAGGGAGCAGACGCGGCAGAGGAGGGTGTTGGGAAGAGGGAGAGGGAAGGGCAGGTGAGGCTGGCGGCGTGTGTGTTGAGGCGCGTGGGCGGGCCCGTTGGCGGGAGGCGTCCTCACGTGTCTGGTCTGGTGGGCTGGCCGAGTGCAGGTGAAGATTTCTGAAGAAGCTGATTCCTCGATGGACGCCCGTCGGTCGCTGAGCTGACGAGTCGGACGACAATCCGGTTGAGACAGCGGCTGGGGGAGCTGGGGCCGCCGTTGTAGTGAACATCACCTCCCCTGGTCTTGGGCGCGGGATCAGAGGTAGTAGTAGTACAGGAATAAGCTCTGGCCTGAGGCTGGGGGGAGGCGGCAGGCTGATTGCGCGAGTTTCGAGGGCGTTTGACAGACGACACAAGTGGCCCAGGTTAATGGGGCATGGGTACAGGCGCGGGCGAGTCTGAGGCAGAGGGCAGAAGAGTAAATGCAAATGCAGATGCGAGTGCGGACGCAAGCAGCGGAGCGAGCCAACAGGGTCGGGGCTGGTTTATGCAGCCAGGGCGGCCAGGGCGACGACGGCGATGGGCGTGCTAGTCAATGGGTAATGAGCCGATTCTAGAGCCCGGGCGGGCTATTCTGGGCTGCGATGGGCTGTAGAGTGGCTCTGGGCTCTGCACTCTGCGCTCTTTGGGGGGGGGGGCAACCGACAATGGGCAGCGCAACAAGACACTACTGCTGCACGCCTTCTCACGTGCCCTCCTACACACTTACTCACTCACACATACACGGCAAACGGAGCGCCCGCCCTCGGTCCCAGTCATGGCCGCCAGCATGAACGTGCGGGCTGCCCTCGCCGCCCTGGCGCAATGCCGTCACGAAACCATACCGCACACTGCCATCCTTACGCCTAGTCTGGACCCGGACCCAAACCATCATCTCCTCCGCTGTAATCATCGTCCACCCACTACTATCCTCTGAGGCATTTCATCCGCCCCAACGCCGCCCAGCCGCCTGAGACAAGGCCTGCCGGTGGCGGCGTTTTACTGCCCGCCGCCGCTCTCTATGGCGCGCATGCCATCATACCCTCTCCTCCACCCTCCCCTCGCCATAGGGCCAGCAAAGTTTCGTCTCATCACGTCACATGGCCCATTTCCCCAGTCTCGCATGTCGCCCGCCACGCTCAAGGCGCTGATCGCAAATGTTGCCGTGTGGGGCCGCCTGTCTGCTCCGCCATGCTGGGTACCCTGCGCCTTGGCACGTCCACGTGACATCATGTCATGCCTGCCCGCCCGCTGCTTGGGAATTTTTCCCCGTGCGCGCCATCAAGCCTTCTATTCATGCCCGCCATGTTAAGACCGCACACCTGCCGACCGCTATCCCGGGGGCTGTCCACGCCATGCTCGTCTCTCAGAGCACCGCCCGCATATGCTGGTAGGAGGTCTCTGGCCACGGCCGTCGCCCAAGAGAGGGTTAGCATTCCGCCATCCGCCCATGTCGATGCATCTGAAGCCATTCTAAACCACCATTCTAGGACCCCGCCGAACTCGACCAAATCACCACCCTGCCCAATGGCATCCGCGTCGCCACAGAGGCCCTCCCCGGCCACTTCTCCGGCATTGGCGTCTACGTCGATGCCGGCTCGCGCTACGAAAACGATGCGCTGCGAGGAGTGAGCCACATCATCGACCGTCTGGCATTCAAGTCCACGCGATCCACTACGGGCGACCAGATGATGGAGAAGATTGAGACCCTCGGCGGCAACATCCAATGCGCCTCGAGCAGAGAGTCGCTCATGTACCAATCCGCCACCTTCAACTCGGCCGTGCCCACCACCGTCGGTGTCCTCGCAGAGACAATACGCGATCCCTTGATTACAGAGGACGAGGTCCAACAGCAGCTCGAGACGGCCGACTACGAAATTGGCGAGATCTGGAGCAAGCCTGAGCTGATTCTGCCAGAGCTTGTCCACATGGCAGCATACAAAGACAACACCCTCGGCAACCCGCTGCTCTGCCCCAAAGAGCGGCTGCCCTTGATCAACCGCTCCGTCGTTGAAGCATACCGGAAAGAGTTCTTCAAGCCTGAGAGGATAGTAGTCGCTTTTGCTGGTGTCAACCACAATGAGGCCGTTCGGCTGACTGAAGAATACTTTGGTGACATGGAAAAAGGCACAGGCCCAGCACTCCCCAGTGTAGGCTCAGACAGCGCGGCAGGATCACAGGCAAACTTCACGGCAGACCATCCCATGCCCACAGGCGCACTACCAGGAAGTTCCAATCTCATCTCCAAGATTCCCTTCCTCAAGAATCTGTCCACATCGACCTCATCCACCGCCAACCTAACCACAGCACTCGACCTCAACTTCCCACCAATAGACACCTCGATACCTTCGCAGTACACTGGCGGTTTCCTCACACTCCCTCCAATCCCTCCGCCAGCGAACCCCATGCTCCCTCGCCTATCTCACATCCACCTCGCCTTCGAAGCCCTCCCCATTTCCTCGCCGGACATTTACGCTCTCGCAACCCTTCAGACGCTCCTCGGTGGTGGCGGCTCCTTCAGTGCCGGTGGGCCTGGCAAGGGCATGTACTCACGCCTCTACACAAACGTCCTCAACCAACATGGCTGGGTCGAATCCTGCGTCGCCTTCAACCATAGCTACACCGACAGCGGTTTGTTTGGCATCGCCGCCTCATGCGCCCCCTCCTACACCGCCCACATGCTCGAAGTCATGTGCCGTGAACTCAAGTCCCTCAGCGACGAAACAGGTTTTGCAGCCCTCAAGGACGGTGAGGTGCAGCGCGCAAAGAACCAGCTCCGCTCTTCCCTCCTCATGAACCTCGAGTCGCGCATGGTTGAGCTCGAGGATCTGGGTCGCCAAGTCCAGGTCCACGGTCGCAAGGTCGGCGTCAAGGAAATGTGCAGCAAGATCGAGGCTGTCACCATCAAAGATCTTCGTCGCGTGGCTAAGCAAGTGTTTGGTGGTAATGTACACAATGCGGGTAAGGGCTCTGGTGCCCCCACCGTGGTACTGCAAGAGGGGGAAATGGAGGGACTCAAGCGCAAGGATTTGACATGGGACGACATCCAATCGCGAATCGCGAGATGGAAACTTGGTCGTCGGTAAATCATTCTCCCTGCTCTCTTTCTTTCGTTTCTCTCTTCTCTCTTCTCCTCACAGCATCAGTTGGGCCAGGCGTTTTTTTTGATCCACTGGCCATCCCCATGACGAAAAAATATGAATCCCCAACCCAAAGTAAAATGACGATTGTAGAAAAAGATTCGTGTATGATATAGACCATTCCATAAGGGCATGAGGGAGATAACAGTAATGAATACATACTTCATAAGGTGATGTCCCTAAGTTGGAGAGAGACACCACTATTTCGCGAGACAGTGTTCACGCTTCACACTGTCCAGATATACCTCTTATTCAGCTTAACCAGGGAATCTTCAAACGGTTCAGACATTGCTTTGCTATTTCAACTTGACGAGGAGATAAACGAAACTTGATGATTTTCTTGTAGTCATTACTTATTCCTTAAATTGGCCCGCAATTTCTGATAAGGGTTAGTATAGCGTTGGACTTGGTTGTTGGTTATTTCTTCGAACGGAGTTGGGCATGTTTGGAAACGGAATGATGGTAGCAGGATAGTATGTTTGTGTAGGTTGACATACTACACTAGTGTGTGTTCGTCTGTGCACCAACTAACACGCCCCGGAGACATCCTGATATAGTTCTATAGTAAACAACGGCCCATGATAGTGTTCTCTGCACGATTAGATTACAATTTTCGTACAAGAACTGTTTCTCGCTTTGTAGTGCGGTGGATGTCACGTGGTTATGCGGTTTCAGCCTTGCCTCACCAGCCTCGTGTCACTGTGCAGGTGGGCTGCGCCTTCTGCTCTGGGCGTTGGAGATATGCAGCCTAATAACCCAACATTCGGCTCGCGGCACTGCAGCCTCCTGACAACAATTCTCCTCAATTTTTCTTCCGCAAAGTCTTAGTTGAATTTCGCAACAGATCCAACAGCTACGATCTATCTACTCTGCGCGAGTGAGACTCTGACCACGTTCGATTCTCTCAGCCTCGTTCGAAGCCTCAACGCTTGCCTCTACCACTTGCACACACAGACACATATAGCCTGATGCGGCTGCTATACACTACGAGCGATGGGCGGCTTGGATGGACTGGCGACCTGATTGAGGACAAGATCCCCCCTTATGCGATCCTGTCGCACACCTGGGAAGGACAGGAAGTAACATTTGCTGACCTGAAAGATTTGCACAATACAGCAAGTGATGAAGTACGAAGAAAGCATGGGTATCAAAAACTCCTGTTCTGCGCGCAACAGGCCAAGCGGGACGATCTGGACTACTTCTGGGTAGACACTTGCTGCATTGATAAGTCGAACAGCGTAGAGCTTTCGGAAGCGATCAACTCTATGTTCCGCTGGTACCAGAATGCAATTAAGTGCTACGTATTCCTTTCAGATGTCGAAAAGGACACCCTAGAGGGCGATGGCGAGTCAGCATTCAGAAAGAGCAGGTGGTTTAACCGAGGATGGACGCTTCAGGAACTACTGGCACCTCGTTCCGTCGAGTTCTTCTCTAAAGACGGAATTCGATTAGGGGACAAAGATTCACTCGAGCAAACTTTACACGAGATTACCGGAATACCTATTAAAGCTCTTTCAGGGAGCGACTTGTCCGAGTTCGACGTTGCTGAGCGGTTCTCATGGGCAGCAAATCGCCAAACGACACGCCAAGAAGACGGTGCATACTGCCTGCTAGGTATATTTGGTATCTTTATGCCACTAATATACGGTGAAGGCAAAGATAGTGCTATGAAACGGCTACAGAAAGAAGTAGAGGGAGCTTCAGTGGACACCGCAGGTCAAGAAAAGTGGCTTGGTAAAATCTGCAGCTGGCTTTCCGCTCCTGACCCGTCCACAAACTACCATAAAGCGCAAAAGCAGCGGCAGGCTGAGACTGGACTCTGGCTGTTAGACAACGCAAGCTTCACTAAATGGAAAGCAACTCCAGCGTCACGACTGTGGCTGTATGGGATCCCGGGATGCGGCAAGACTATCCTGAGCTCAACAGTCATCGAGCACCTGCTGCAACACTGCTACAGTGATGCTAGTATGGTGACAGCGTACTTTTACTTCGACTTCAACGACATACAGAAACGGAACCCAGAGCTGATGCTCCGCTCGTTGCTCTGCCAGCTCCTGCAGGGCTTGGTTATAATACCTAAGGGCGTCAACGCATTGTTCTCGGCATGTGCAGATAGGGGTCAACAGCCATCACTACGTGCGCTGCTCGAACTCATACCGCAGGTGATACAACAGTTCACGCATGTCTATGTTGTTCTAGATGCGCTCGATGAGTGCACAAAGCGTCAAGAACTAATGGATATGCTTGAGATGGTGGCTGGATGGCAGCTCGATAACCTACATCTGCTTATGACTAGCCGGAAAGAGCGGGATATTGAGAGCTCTCTGGAGATTTACATTAAAGAAGAATATACAATCTGTCTTCAAAAAGACGTTGTAGATGGCGACATACAACGATACGTTCAACGAAGGTTGTCTGATGATAAGAATCTAGCAAAGTGGAACAAAGATACTGCTATTAGACAAGAGATTGAGGCTACACTGATGCACGGGGCTCGTGGGATGTGTGTATTGAAAACTTAGCGACCTACAGAACTATAGCTGACGAGAGTGTAGGTTCCGATGGGCTGTGTGTCAGCTTGACACGTTAGCACAGTGTCGCAATCGAGCGATGCTGCGCAAGTCATTAACCACCTTACCGAAAACGCTGGATCAGACATATGACCGCATTCTCGCTGCTATAAGTGAACAAGATCGCGACTTCGCGATGCGCATCCTGCGGTGGCTAACGTTCTCTGAGCGGCCGATGTCGGTCGAAGAGATCGCTGAGGTCGTCGCTATTGACGTAACACGCGAGTCAGCGTTCGACCGCGATGAAGTACTGGAAGACCCGCTAGAGGTGTTGAACATCTGCTCTAGTCTTGTCACTATCACGACGAATGAGCTGGACAGATATCAAACGATAGAATCTCCTACAATCACTCTAGCGCATTATTCCGTCCAGGAGTATCTTGTGTCAGAGAGAATCAAGCAAGGACAATCGAAGCAGTACAGTATGCAAGCCGCTGAATGTCATACTACGATAGCAGAGGGTTGTTTGAAATATCTACTACAATTCCAGCAACCAACTTCAATACACATTCTTGAGGAGTTTACGCTCGCAAGGTATACAGCAGAGTTCTGGGGTAGACATTTTCGGAAAATAGGGGATGAGACAAGCAGAGTGAGCCGAGTAGCGATGAGCTTGATGTCGATGGAGCAACCCGCATATCTCACATGGATCCGGTTGTGGGACCCACATTTCCCATGGAACAAACCAGACTTAGCAAGAGGTCTAGAAAGCCTAGCTACGCCGCTTTACTATGCCGCATTGTTAGGCTTGTGCACAATTACGGAAAATCTCCTAGATGCAGGCGCCGACATTAATGTCCAGAGTGAAAACGGCGACACCGCACTACAGGCAGCTTCATTCGGAGGCTACGAGCAGATAGTGAAGATACTACTAGACGCAGGCGCCAATATCAACGCTCAGAGTAAATATGGCACTGCACTGTGGACAGCTTCATCAGGAGGCCACGAGCGGATAGTTAAGGTGCTACTAGATGCAGGCGCCGACATTAATGTCCAGAGTGAAAACGGCGACACCGCACTGCAGACAGCTTCACAAGAGGGCCACGAGCGGATAGTCAAGATGCTACTAGACGCGGGCGCCGATATCAATGCCCAAGATGGCGAGTGTGGCACCGCACTGCAGACAGCTTCATCAGGCCACGAGCGGATAGTTAAGGTGCTACTAGACGCAGGCGCCGACATTAACGTCCGGAACGAATACGGCGACACCGCACTGCAGACAGCTTCACAAGAGGGCCACGAGCGGATAGTCAAGATACTACTAGACGCGGGCGCCGACATCAACGTCCCGAACGAATACGGCGACACCGCACTACAGGCAG